CGAGTTGAAAATAAAATTTAACCAGACAAAAATTTTGAAAGTAACTTCTCAAAAAAACGAAATTTGCAGCATGATTTTGAAGTGTACTGGTTGCGTTTGTAATGACAGTTACTGTAAATGTTCTTTTCAGCAGTTTCTCAGTACTAACTAAATTAGTATTGATTTCAGCTTGAAAATGATGCCGGATCAGATAGCATCGACGTCAGACTTCTGGTTGTTGATAGCCCTTCACCACCAAAAAATCTGACAGTGTCGGATATAACGCCCGATTCTTGTGTGCTAGACTGGGAAGCGCCGGAAGATGATGGTGGCTCACATATCACAAATTATATTGTTGAGAAATGCCATTTGCGCTCGCCGACCGATGATGTCTGGGAGAAAGTGAGCTCATTCGTTCGAGGGACCAATTATGTTGTCACTGGACTTGCCGAGAATGAACGCTACAAATTCCGTGTTCGAGCCGAGAACCAGTATGGCGTATCGGAACCAGTTGAGCTGAAAGAACCAATAGTTGCAAGATATCAGTTCAAGGTACCAGGGCAACCGGAGCCGCCGACTGTTTACGATATGGATAGTACCTGGGCTGAAATTGAATGGGAACCACCTTCCGATGGCGGATCCAAAATACTCGGTTATATATTGCAATACAGAGAACCAAGCTCAAGCAAATGGATATCAGCCAGCTCACAGCCAATTGATGGAACTCGATTCCGGGTGCAAAATCTGAAGGATAAGGGTGAATACGAGTTCCGAGTTATTGCAAAGAATAAAGCCGGCCTGTCGAAACCGTCACTGCCGTCCGGAAAGGTGCAGCTTAAGCCGAAATTTGGTCCACCTGGACCACCGACACAAATTGCTGCAGAATCAATTGGTCGGAACCACGTAACACTTACGTGGGTGCCACCAATCGATGATGGCGGCTCGAAGATTACTGGTTACGTTGTGGAAAGTCGAGAGTTCGGCATTCAAACCTGGCGAGTCGTTAGCGATTATAATGTGCAACAGCCGGAGTTTACTGTACCCAATCTGACTGAATTCCACGATTATGAATTCAGAATTACTGCTGTTAACAAACACGGAAAAGGCCCACCATCACTACCTTCCTCACCAATCAAAATCCACGATCTGGGCGGTTCCAGGCCGCAGATTGTTGTCAAGCCGGCAGATACCGCCTCACCGTATAATCGCCGTGCCGTCTTTACCTGTGAAGCAGTTGGCAGACCAAGTAATTCCTTCTGCATCTGTGTAATTTGCGTGAATGATTGGCACAAAATATATCACTGCAAAACTTTTGTACACCCTCCACAAATTTATTTGTAAGTTACCCGGGCAAGCACACTTATACACAAACGCACACGAAACATTTTGCAAAAAACTCTATTTTTTCGAGAATTTCGATCTCAGATCTGAATTTAAGTTAACATTATACTCCGGGAACAAAAAAAAAAACTGTTCACTGAAGATTTTATTTCATTAAATAATTCGTAGTGGGCCGCGGCCGCTTAAAACTGAGCTTCAACCAAGGTTGAACTCAAATTTTGGGGGTCTCTGTTCACCGCGTAATATATGGAACGAATAACCTGACAGCTTTTGCTTCCTAGTTTTCGATGCATGCCGAAGAGTGATGGGGATGCAACACCAAAACGAATCAGTTATAAATCTAAGACTTTGGTTTTTCCATGCGTTGGATCGTTTGGATGAAAGCCATCTTAGGACAGACTTTTACATGTTTTAACGCATTGCTCACTAGTCTGTCTGTGGTAATTCGTTGTAACAATGCGTAATTGCGTTATCTAATTCAAAAATGGTGTTTAATTTAGCAAAATGTACGCGCATCTTGACGACGAAGCTCGTTTTATTGCAGCCCCAACAGCACGTTGGTTGCGTAACGGCCGTGAAATACCAGAAGGAGCGCGATATCGTACAGAAGTACAAAATGAAGTTTTCAAGCTTATTATCAAAGAAGTGTGGGATATCGATTCTGGTGAATATACGTGCGAGGTCTCGAATTCTTACGGGTCCGACTCTGCTACTGCAACTTTAACTGTGCAAGGTCTGTGTTTTGTAGGAATCCGAAACTCATTTCTTGTAAATCGATGATCTATGTAACATCAAAATTCAGAAACTACACAATTAGAGTTACATTTTGAGGGTAGCTCATCTAAAATCGTTATTCCTAATGAAAATCACGCTCAGAATTGTACCCTTGGCCAAAGTAATGGTGTCTGTATTTTACAAGCTACTTAATTTAATGTGGGATTTTTATCTAAATGAAATGCTTGTTTTTTTTTCTTTTTTTTTTTGAAAACTTCATTCTAAAAAGACTTAACTTTTGCATCAGGTCTAAATTCTGAAAAAAACTGTTCAAGATGCCATGTTTAAGCAAACAAGGCCAAAAATGGAATGCCGGTAGCAGAAAGGATGTGATTTTCATGAGCAAAACGCCATTTTGGATTGGGAACCCCAAAAGGGAAATACACTCTTTTGGAAGCTGGATGCAGCGTTGAGTTTTTTTTCTTTACTACGACTGTAGTTTGCAATTATCTTGGCCAAATTCCGCACTTCTTTGACTGCATTTCGCATTCTTCTACTCAAATTTCCAAATTTATTTTTTTTGCGGGGACTGTTTTGGGGCCGACTTAATGGACAAGAAGCGGCCACCTCCTTCTTGCAGCACTTATTTGATGATCCAGTTTCTGCGCTAAAGCAGCTAATTTCGTAGTACTTTTATTTTAATATACATCTTTATTCTTTTTTTTTAAAACAAAATAGATGAATTTTCAAAAATTTAGCACCACCGGTGATCGAGAAGGGCGTAGCGAATGCAGTATATGCAGACGGCGAATTGGTACGACTGAAAATTTACTTCTCTGGCACGGGCCCATTCAATTACCTGCTCACGTTGAACAAGGAGGAAGTACCCGTCGATCATCCGAACATCCATTTCGTGGACTTCGACAACCATGTTCTCATAACCATTCCGTCCATACATAGTAGTGAAGCTGGTCGTTATGAATTAACGATTAGCAATGAAAGTGGCGAAGCAAATACCGGATTTTGGTTGAATGTTACTGGCCTACCCTCGGCACCTCAAGGACCACTGCAGTTCTCGGATGTGAACAAGTCGCAGCTAGTTCTTGGTTGGAAACCGCCTGTGGTTAGTTGCGCTTCTCAAATGAATTAGAATAAAATGCCGAAAAACAGTGCTCTCCGAAATTATCTAGTGAACAGCGACACGGTCAACGTTTAGGTAGTTAAGGATGTGCAGCAAATGTATGCATCGCTGTGT